TGTAAGTAGATGATTTTGTGTTATGAAATGTATGTTGTAATGTAACATTCTTATTTGATTTGCCTTAAAACCATGTAGGAGTAAAGTTTAAAAAGATATTTTAATAGAAATTATTTAAGGGGATAAAAGAAGTAATGGGGTAAAAGTCTCCGCACGGAAGCAAAAAATGACGTTGCTTTTTTGTGTTTGGCAAGAATAATAAGTCTTGGCAGTTAGTATGCTATTCACCTGAGGGCTGTCAATTACTCTCATTTTGAAAGACAAAGAATTTATGAATTGTCAACATGTCTTTTAGGTTAGAAACCAATATTCATCAGGAGAAAAAAGGTAAAACAAATATTCAAGTAAACTGAAAATCAAAATGCTGCCTGGTGTTGCCTTAAGAACACAATACGCATGGCCGTTGCCATGGCTCAATAGGCTAATCCTCTGCCTGCGGCGCTGGCACACCAGATTCTGTCCCGGTTGCCCCTCTTCCAGGCCAGCTTTCTGCTGTGGCCCGGGAGTGCAGTGGAGGATGGCCCAGGTCCTTGGGCCCTGCACCCCATGGGAGACCAGGAGGGGCACCTGGCTCCTGCCTTCAGATCAGCGCGGTGTGCCGGCAGCAGCGCGCCGGCCTCAGCGGCCATTGGAGGGTGAACCAACGGCAAGGGAAGAAAGACCTTTCTCTCTGTCTCTCTCTCTCTCACTGTCCACTCTGCCTGTCAAAAAAATAAAAATAAAATAAAATAAAATAAGATTTTTTAAAAAGAACACATTACACAGGGCCGTTTCTGTAGTGCAGTGGGTTAACGCCCTGGCCTGAAGCGATGGCATCCCATATGGGCACCTGGCTGCTCTACTTCTGATCCAGCTCTCTGCTATGGCCTGGAAAAGTAGTAGAAGATGGCCCAAGTCCTGGGCTCCTGCACCGACGTGGGAGACCTGGTAGAAGGCCCTGGCTCCTGGTTTCAGATCAGCGCAGCTCTACCCATTGCGGCCAATTGGGGAGTGAACTATCAGATGGAAGACTTCTCTCTCTCTCTCTCTCTCTCTCTCTGACTTTCAAATAAATAAATAAATCTTTAGGAAAAAAAGAAATTAATATTCATCAAAAGAAAAAAGGTAAAACAAATACTCAAATAAACTGAAAATGAAAATGCTGCCTAGTGTTGCCTTAAGTACATATTACACATATTCTACAGCTCTTATGCTATAAAAGTGGTAATATGATGGACAAAATGGTGACAAACCAAATGGCTATTACTGCGCTTCTCAAGCACAATACAGTCTAGAGATCAATGGCTTGAGATAGTTTTCTGCATTCCATATAAAGGAAATCATTTGTCACTGAAAGCCCCCACATATACCACTGTCTAATGGTGAAACTGCTGACAATCTTATAGGCTGTTCCAGCGGTAGAATCTAGGACTAAACACACTGAACTACATTAGAGTTGGTCCCTAGGGCATAGAATTATGCTTCATTGGCAAGGGCACTGTAGGAGTTCCATTTGACTCCTCATTAAACCTCTCCTAGGGATTCCAGCTACTTCTCTGTGGCTGCTCTTGCTCCCTTTTCTAAGAGGAGATAGATGTGAACCCCATAGCGCTGATACATTTTTACATATTTAGGAAATGATCGCATTTCCTGATAAAAACTAGGTCTCTTACAAATTCTTAAAAAGACCTCACAGTTTCTTGATCAGCGATCACCAAATTACTGTTTTCAAAGAAAGTTAGAGAGCTTCATTTTGATTTATGGGAACTCATTTTTAAATGTCTGTCTCTGGCGTGTAAGAGATTCTGTTTTGTGTGTGTTTATCTTTTCTCCAGGAAAAGTAACACTGAGGGGAAGTAGTTGGTGATAATGATCTCAGATTTCTCTACCTAACAGTGTGGCTGTGAAAAAGAATAGAACAAACATGTGGACACAATTGGTGAAACAAATTATTATTCACACTATATGTTGCCTTTGGCCATTTTTGTTGATTTGGAGTCCTGAAAATAGCATAAGACATACTTTGTAAGTACTGCATTGGAAAACCAATCAATAGCTCAAGGAAACATACAACACAGTGCACAAATTGAGAACTCTCACTACTAGTGACACAGTATTCATATTCTTCAAGGGAGCTCCTTCTAAGGAAATTCACAAGACTGTTAATGTCTTAAGTGCAAAAAAATGAACCTATTTTATCCAGCAATAGCTATGCAAAATACTCTCTGGAGAGGAAATTTTCTGTGATTATGAAATAATACCTTCAGTCTTGAGGGCATGTAATCACAATTTACGAATCAAATATTAGTAATGCTAATTACAAATGCTTTATTGGTTAATCTTTATGGGTACTGTTCTCCCAAAGTGAGAGCTAAGCAAATTGTAATGTAGGTGAAAACACGTAGCAAAATATGATTATCATAAGATATGTATCATTGTGAAGGTTTATTTTGCATTTACAAGATTGAAATATGGCCTGAATTAGTTTCTTAATTTCCTACATACATCAGGCAAGCCTTCATCCATGCACATACATACATATATGCACACATCTACAGATACATACATGAATATCCTCAGATGAAGAATCATCAAAAAGGTCATGAAAAATGTGTACTATCAAAAACTATGCATGAATTTCAAACTTTTTGCACAAAAGCAAACATCTTTTTTGTGATTATTTATTTATTTTGAAAGCCAGACAGATAGGAAGAGAGAGACAGAGAGAGAGAGAGAGTCAATTCCCATTTATTAGTTCATTTACCATATGCCTGAAACAGCTGGGCTGGGCCAGGTTGAAGCAATGAGAAGAGAACTTGTTCTGTGTCTCCCACGTGAAAGCAAGAGGTCCAACTATTTGAACAATCATCTGCTACCTCCAAGAATGCACATTATCAAGAAGCTGAAATTGAGAGGGAACTGGGACTCAAACCCAGGGACTCTGATGCGGGATGGACATGTCCCAGGTGGCATCTTAATTACTACACCAAACACCTGCCTGCAAAACTAATCTTTTAAACTTCATATTCCATGAACTTTCAGATCCATAATTCACAACACAGGCATACATCCTTTAAAACTAATCACTATTCATAAGAGGAATTGTGGCATCCTGTGAGGGTGACTTTGCTGCTAGCCTCAACATATCTTTAGTTCTATATATTAGATCATTTTAGCCACTTTTGGAGGTGTGCTGGAATAAAATACTATTTTTAGAAATTTCAAAACCAAAGGAAAATATATCAAACTCAAGTGTCTACACATGCACTTCCAAGGTTACAGTTTCCAGGTATTCCATGAATTTGTCCCAGAAGGAAGGAGAAGCAGCTAATATTTTCCAAGGCAAAGAGAAGAAACAGACCAATAAAGGGTGGACAGAGGGCACTGAAGCGTGTGCAAGGAGAAAGAAAATGCAAAGAGAAGAAGTTGCTAAGCGATGACACCAAAGATAATACTCTCATATAAATTCAGACTATCATTTTCTATTTTATAAATATGAATATTTAGTACACATACTCAATCTAAAGCTTTCTCAGATGATTAGTGTTTGGTCATTGCTCATCTAGCAAAAGGCTGAGTAAACAAAGCCATGTTTTTTTTTTTAATAAAAAAATGCTTTTAAAATTCATTTATTTGAAAGGCAGTGAGAGAGACTGAGACAGCACACTCCCTTCCACTGGCATCCACTGATTCACTCCCTAAATGCCCCCAACGGCTGGCAGGAACTCAATCCAACTCTCCCGGATGGGTGACAGGAATCCAATTACTTGAGCCATCACTGCTTCTCCCCTTGGGTCTACATTAACAGGAAGCTGGAGCCAGGAGCCAGAGCTGGGAATTGAACCCAGATACTCTTTTATGAGAGGTAGGTGTCTTAAATGCTAAACATTCGATCCAGCCCTGAGTCTGTGAGACTGGGACAAACTGGTGCCTGAATGCCTGCATTCATGACCAAGGTGACCTTTCCTGTCTTCTGGTGCCCACGCATGTCTCAAGGATAAATCAGAAGTTCCATTACCAGCAGGACACAGCAAGGATAATTTACATGGTAATAAGAAATGATTTATACCTGAACAGTGTACCCATAGTTTATTTTGACAGACTTATCTTTGAAAAAAAAAACACACACACACACATTCAACAAAAGGGACAGATAAGTATACTGGAGACACACAGCTTGGAACTCATTGCTGTGGCTCTACAAAGTCTCAGGTTAATTATTCACAGATAATTCAGAATTGTTAAAAATGTATATCTTACAAATATATGTCAAACGTGGTTTTCCGGTTCTATATTCCTTTTCAGGTAATCTGACAAACTCGTATCAAAGATAGTCTTTGCAACATAGGAGAACTCCTAATTTCAAATAGAAAACATACATAATTGTGCTGTTTCTTTCTAGCTGACTATGGGACGTAGAAAGTGAGTGTTTAAACAGGATGAAGAGAATGGATGGGGTGGAAGAGAGGAGGGCAGTGGGGGAAACACTCCCCATCACACACACACACACACGCACACACGCACATTGGCATTCACACAAACGCATTCACACTCAGATACTCATACACATGTTCACACACACATTCTCACACTCACGTATGCTCATATACTCTCACTCTCATGCTCCCACACACTCACACACTCATGCACGTGCATTCACACACACACACACACACACACACACACACACACCGCACACTCCATCTCAACAGTCATAGTCATCCCAACGTCACCGGTCCTTTATAATAACTACAGCTGAGAGTAGACACAGGAAAATCGGTAGGGAACTGAAATCTGGACCCCAGGATACTCCAGAGGAGTCAAGGCCACCCGCTCAACTCCGGAGCCCAGAGCCTGTGGGAAGGGCTGAGGCGAAGCCTGGAGGGGGCTGCCCAGCCTTCCAGGGCGGCGGGCAGACCCTTGTGGGAGGCTCGCCAGGCAGCCGGCACTCCCCAAGCCCCCGGCCCCGCGGGGAAGCATCCCTGCAGCCGGCGGGCCGCGGCGCGAGGCACGCAGAGCCCCCGCCTCTCCTGCGCGCGGACCCCGCGCCTCCTCCGGCAGCCGCGGTGGCGGCGGCGGCAGAGCCTCGCCCACTCCAATCCCCACCCTCTCTCCAAGCTTAGCCATTAAAGCGCAGCGGCGCCCCGCGCGTTGCTGGAGGACCCCGGGCGCGGAGGAGGACAGGGAGACGGCGCAGGGGGACTGAAAAGGCAGCATGCGACCGCCGGGAGCAGCTTCGGCGCCCACCGTCTGAGGCTGCAGCCCCAGTTCGCCTTTGTGAGCGGCCGCCTGGGAAGCCCGCCAGCCCCGCGGTGCCCCACTCCCGGGTTCCCGTTCGCTCTGCGATGGGGCACCTGCCCACCAGGGCGCGCGGCCGCCGCCGCCTGCTGCCTCTGCTCTGGCTCTTTGTGCTGCTCAAGGTAGGGGAGCGCCCCAACCCCCAGCCTCGTGTCCGGTCTCAGCCGCGCTCGGGCGCCCAGACTCTGCCGTGCGGGAGCGACGCGCCCGGGGCGCGATGGCCGCGCAGCTGGGCGCGCGCTTTGTTGTCCCTCGGTGTGAGGGTTCCAGGGATCTGGAGGGAAGGGTTGGGTAGAAGAACAAGGGAAGTTTGCTCCCTCTGGCTTTTTTCGCCTAAGCTGAAACCCTCATCAAAGGTGGGCTTGGTGGGTAGAGCTTTTTCTAGCAAAATGAGGTCACTTTCCCTTGTGTCCCCTACTGCGACCCACCGCTGCCAGTTAACCTCCCGCCCTCCCCCACCGAAGTGTGCTGCTGCTTTGTCTTAATTTACCTAACGCTGGATTCACACTCGGGCGCTGAGCCCCCAGCCACTGTCGGACCGCGGGGGTGGGTGGAGGGCAGGATTTTCTGTAACGAGTTGGAGTGTCAGGTGGAGCCTGGAGTGGACTCCTCTCCGCAAGTCTCATCTCCACCCTGAGAATTCCTTTTAAAAAGTCTCTGGACTTTCTTCACTATATTTACAGAGGATGCTACCTATAACTGTAGTGGTGGAGAAATATAGAATTCACTTTTCCCCATCTTCTTTGGAATGCGCTTCCTTGGGGTTTTACTTTGAGACAAATGACATTTGCTTTTTGAAATTCCTAGTTTGGCGGCCATGAGTTTCTTGAAGACTTTTAGCTAGATGTTTTGCAAGGTGGCGTGGAGTTTTGAAGTGATCCTCTATCCCTTGGGTCCTCAGTGGATCTACTTTAGGTCTCCTCAGTCCATCTTTTCTCTTCTCCGCAAATAAAACCGGGGAACGTCGACAGGTGACGGGGAGCTATCCTTTCAGCACCACATTGATACCTACACTAGAATGGGTGAAACGCTACGGGTGCAAACGTTTCCTTAGCAAAGAATCACCTCTTGCTTACGTAGCATCCATGATGAATGTTTGACCAAGGATACAGTGGAACAGCACCAGTGGCTTAAGAACAGCATTAATTTTAAGTAATCCACATTTTCATTTATCTTAATAGAAAATGGAAAGAAATAATATCAGGGAGAAACAGGAACAGAGTTCATAAGTAAAGTTCTAAATTTGACTTAGTATCCTTTACATTTTCTTAAGATTTTAATGGTTGTTTTATTTTAAAATCTGTTAAGTAATGAGCTTAGCCATGTATTTTCACTGCAGGGAGTTGTTTTTACTGCACACCACAATGTGTTAGGCCTATTGAGTTCTCCACTATTCTTGCTCTGGTTTTCAAATTTTGTCACAGCTGAATGTATCTATGCAATGCTTCTTATGGACCTAAGTGTGAAATGAATTCACTGCATATTCTACTGCGTATCTAGTACTTACATATATGACATCTGCCTTGAACCTAACCACTGACACAACTTTAGGCTTTGACTTGAATTCTTCATAACGGATGCGAATTCCAAAAGTGAGAGAATGATTAGTTTGATCATGGAAGTAGTTTTCTGTAATTAAAATGTGGCATAATGTTGACTCAAAATTCACTATAGGGTTGAGAAAATGTAGTTAGTGGTGGTGTAGTGGCAATAATAGTTCACCCTGTTTCACGCACTAGGTATATTCCTGAACATTTGTCTGTAAATGACAATTATGGTAATTGCATCACTTAGTATTTACATTGACAAAGCTTGCCACTTAAAGCAATTTTGTAAGGAAAATCATTAATTTTCATTTTATGTAAATGCAATATTTGTATCACCTGAATAAAAATATGCAAGAAGAAGGAAGAGAATATATCTATATATCTATTTCTATATCTGTATCTGTAACTATATAATCTCATGTGTGTGTATATGACTCTACTATGGGCCAGCTTTCCAGGGATTTCACATGTTATTTCATTTAATCCTATTTTGTTGCAGTTGACAAGAGATGTTCAAAGTAGTGTGTTGGGACAGTGGTCTGATGTCTTACATTTAGGTGATAGGATATTATATGGTGCATTGGGCACATGGTATAATCTATTATAATTTGAAAATGCCTTTGAATTTAAGGTCCTAATTAAGTGCCAGGAAAATATATATGACTATGCAGGCAGTTACAGGAATCTAAAAACAAAATTCAATTATTAAATACCAAATTTCCAACAGGATCTCAATGATAAAAATCTAAAAAACTCCATGTGTGATGAGTCAGGATTAAATAATCCCTTTCTCTTCCCCCCCAAAAAACTTAGTTTTCCCTATGGCCAATACATTTTTGTTGTCCTCTGTGAGTATCCTCCATATAAAAGTGAAAATCTCTAAGGATTATAAGTCAGAGAAATTTAACTATGAGGCAGGATTTATAGTTTTACATTTTACACAACTCATGAACAAGTAACTGGATACAAATGGTGGGAAATGGGAAAAGTTTGAGTCTGTATGAATGGCTATAGCAAATTTCATTAAATGCAACTGGTCATGGAAATGTTTGTGCACTCCTGGTTTAGTGATGAACACATTTAATCAAACATGTCAGAGTGTCTAAATAATCTATTGTACATTGTGATAATATCTGCATAAGTGATGTTGTATAAACACATAGTTTGTTATGAAAATGTAAATCTAATACCAATATTGGTGTATTTAGAAAGCAGAAACAAAAATATGACTCTGGTATTGAATGGGAGCCTGCTAATCTCAAAATCTTCTATCTATTATTTCAAGTGTTTATCTGACGTGACTCCTTCTTGGGCATTGTCCCAAAATTTCCAGTGAAAACAGAGCATCTTTTTCCACTTTGTACTAACCTCTCCCTTAAAATGGCCTTCTGTATTAGTTCACTTGATATCAGAGCTTTTGTCAATTAAAATGCAAATTTTAGGAGGTGACACAGCAATTTGAAGTCTTCCTTTCCTGAAATATTGTCATTAGTAGTCAACTGGAATGTTCCCCTAAACACACAGATTTGGTGTGTACCCTTCTTTTCTTAACCTTTTTTCACCTTCCTTCCATTTCTGCCTTTATCTCAGATATCATCAAAGCACAATAAATATGAAGGTAACTGTATATTTTTCAAAAGAGGCTTATATTTAGTTGTATAAAGCATGAATGTTATGCCATAGCCATATTACTCTTATTCATGAGAAATATCCACTTTCTACAGACTATTGTACTTCTCTGTGGATCCCCATCTGTATCTCTATTTCTGTCTCCTAGGAGTTTCAGTTTCTTTATTGAGGTTTCATACATATATAATGCAGTTTTGACAGATGAACTGTATTCTTTTCATTTTTCTGGAGGAGCCTAGACCATCCTACACAATGAAGTTTGCTGCCCTTAACTCCTCTGTCAGTTGATTCCTTTGATAAATGACATTGCCAACCTTTTAGAGAGCCCTTTTCACAAGTTGGAGAGGCTCGCGGGGCTGTGTTTCCACAGGTGATTGAGTGATAATCCTCCCCACTGTGAGCATATGTTTGCTTTTCCTCCTTGTTATATGAAAAACTGCGGTTGTATGAAAGAGCTATTCCCCTGTCTCACTTTGGCAATAAGAAAATGCACACATATATACTTAGGTGATTAAAAATAATATGAGTTATACTTCATTTTAAAATGAAGCCCTGTTTCTAATGTCTAAGCGTCCAAATTGAGACCATTTAAACTTATAGTCAGATTGACTCCTGAGTTTTGTAAACATGACTCTAATTTGAGTCTTGATGATTTTTGAAATGGACTTTGGTGTTTGATACAGTTGGTGCACCTGTATAAACACTGTGATTGATAGCAGTTTAGTACAATAGAAGACTTAACAGCGATGACCCCTGAAACATATTCATCTTTTTCTCCCTAATTTAATGCCTTCAGGTACAGAGTGACTGTGCTGATTTTCAGAAGCGTAGCCCAATGCGATGATGAGCTTCACTGTAAAGCACCAATGCTTCCATCTAATTACTCTGAATATGCTGCAAAGTTTTTTAAAAGAATGCCTGTTGTATTTTTATTGTCTACCACTATGCCTGGTATTTAGTGTTAGGTATATTGCAGACACTTGATAAATATGATTCAAATTTTCAGCATCATATAGTTTCTGAGAATTATGAAATATTGAAATATTAACTTGTGAGCACATCTTTAAGGAAAACATGAGAAAATTATCACTTGATTAAATAATCGTAATTACAGTGCACTCACAAAACATAATAAAATTTTGCCAGTCACTCTCATATTAAGATATTATTGGAAGAGAGGAGCTGGCAGGCTCCAAACATAATGAAAAGATAAGGAAATGAAGTGCTAATTGCCTGATTTGATCCATTTATGCTGTTTACACATGTTGAAAAATTGCACTGTGCCCCATAAAATGGACAAGTATTACATGTTAATAAAAATTATAATAAAAATTAAAAAATTAAAAGGTCTGGTTAAAACATAAGTCAAAACACCAACATGTCATTTTCACTCAAAATGCAGTACTCTCAGTTGCTAATTTTTTCACCAGTTGCCTCATCTGCTATTTAATGCCATCAATTAAAAAGTAGCAATTGACATAGTAGGGGAAACAGTTCCCTTGCCTGTATATATGAGCTTAAACTTCAGGCAAAAACTAGACACACAGGTGGTATTTCTGCTTTCTCTTCCACATCACCACTCTCCTATGGTTGCTATGAACGAGAACTGACCAAAGTTTCTACATTAAAAGTAATAGAAATCCCTTTAATTATTTGACAGACATTATCCTTAAGAGCTGAAGCCTTTTTTACACCCCATTTTGGCTATATCCATGGTAGTGTTTAATCCAGGATCATAACTCAGTGAGTTAAAGAATTCTTCTTCACTGGTCTCAGAGACCATTTGATAACAGCTCATCTGCTGAAATAAACATGTGAGAAACTTCTTTGTGCACTAATGTCATTGATTAAGAAATGAAAACGAGGTTAATGTGGAACAAGTAGAGTCAGCAAGAGTGAATGGAGTGGGATGGGACTGAAGACAGCACAGACTCCTGTCCTTTTCT